TAAATTACATTACATTTTAAAAATTGCAATTGGAATAAAGATAAATTGTAATATAATTTATAGTTGGCTATAAAAGCCTCAAACTATGATTGGCTATAAAATCAAGCAAAAGTTGTTTTTCTCATTTCAATCAAACCACACCTTTAAATACCTTTGAGGTTGGATGCTGTAGAAAATTTGGATCTTGAACATATAGTAGAAAAACTCTGGGAGAAGCTATACGAATAAGTAGAACCTTGAACATATAGTCACTGTATTAACAAATACTCCCTCTGGTCCTATTTATAAGTTATTTCTACCAATCTCATTAATACCAATACAATAAAAGTACAAAGAATAAAAGTAAGTAAAATTTCAAACATGCCCCTATATAACAAATCTAAAAAGTAATGTCCTGTTATCTTTTCTCTCTTATGAAGGGTAATTTTAAAAATACCTCTCAAATATCACCTAAAAAGACGCACCATGACTTATAAATGAGACCAAATAGACTTTTTAAAATAGGACTTATAAATGAGACCGGAGTGAGTATGACTCTAGCATAGAAGAAGAATGAATTGGTTTAGAAAATCTGACTCAAATATTGATTTTAAAAATTTAAATTTGAGTTGTGGTCTCAAAATCTGAATCTGAATCTAATTTCAAAATTGATACTATATGATTTTCCTAGATGTGGTTTTCAATTTTTATTTATTTTTGCTTTTAAGAGTTTGATTTGGATATGTTTACTATTAAGTGCTTATTGGTTTGACATGAATCATAGTTTGATTTGGATATGATTTTGGGTTTCCATGGATTTGTGATTAATCTAAGAAGGTGGATGACTAAGGTAATCGAGTGGCTCTAAGAAGGATGGAAGGAAGAAGGAAAACAATTTAAAAAAACAAATGGCTACATGGACTCTCACGTGTAGCCATTGAACATAAAATTGTCAAAATTTCAAAGTTGACAGTCAAATCGTTCAAATTGTGATGATAGGATGACATTGTACCAAAATAAAAAACATTAGAATAAAATTATATTTTAACCTTTTTTTTCAGCGAAAAGTTTGAACATTTCATTTTAAAATTATCGGTCTCACTTTTTCTTTTGTTTGATTGCTCACATATTTCTATCTCCAAGTGGTACCATGGATAAATTATTTGCAGGCATTCTTGGATAATTGCAGAACAATTTATCAATTTATTTTAATTTGTAAAGATATATAGTAATCTGCAAAATAAGGGATGCAAAATATTAATGAAGATTTTTTTTAATTTATCAATTTATTTTATATTTTTAATCCTACTTTTTTAAAAATTGCAATTTTAAATTTAATTTTTTAAATATAAACTAGTCACAAATATATATATATATATATATCATAAAATTTATGAATTTTTTTTATACATCTAAATTGTCTTTTTAATTAGATCATCCAAATAAATTTTAATTTATTCAACTAACTTTTTTTTTTAAAATATAAACATATATCACATTATAGTTGGATACTTTTATCATAATTTTAGTTTGCAATCCTCAATTCATTCTGATTTCAGTTGGGGATTTTTTTAATCTAAACACACCCACGCTAACTCCATTTGCTAATGGTCTATGTTAGTGTGCAATTCATTACCTTTTTTTTTTTAAGTATCCTTATTGATGAATAATTTTATATTTATTGTAGGGTGTTTAATAAAGATAAATATAAAAATATATAATTAATTTAAAAGTAGGTGACTACATTATTGAGGGTGAGATTCGGTTAAAAATGTCTTGTATTTTTTAATAAAGTGAGTAGTTAATTTCATTTTTCAGTCTAATTCAATGAAAATAAAAAATGAAAAGTTAAAAAGTAAAAGAAAATTTAAAAGTACATGAGTGTGTCTAAAAGTTTAAAAAATTCTCAATAAAACTTTATAGGATATACTTCCTTTGTTAAAAAATGTAAGACATTTTGAGTCTTTCAAGATATAATCATTGTCTTTTTTTAAAAATGTCTCTATTGATGAATGATTTTATATTTATTATAGAGTGTTTTATAAAAAGAAATATAAAAATATGATGTTAGTTTAAAAGTAGGTAATTATTTTATTAAATGATGAGATTTGGTTAAAAATATTTTATATTTTTGAGCAAGGAGAATAGTAATTAATTGAGGGAATGACATTAAGGGTCCTAAAAACAGAGTTTATTGTACTCAGGTCCTAAATTAATCTGCAATTGTTTTCTAAGCCTTGAGGCCCCAATTGCAATATTTTTTTTGGAGCAAAAGTACTATTTTGCCTTTTGTTTGATTTAAATTTAGAACCTGCGTGAACCCTCGAAGCAACAGAATAAATCATGCACGATACAATATCCACTATACACAAGACGATGTCCACACATGCTCAACAGAAAGTCCATGCATTTTGAGTATTTTACTAGCTTAGGTTTTAACAAAAATGACTAGGCAGACCATGCACAACACAACATCCACTATGCACCAGATTATGTTCACACATGCTCAACAAAAAATCCATGCATTTTGAATATTTCACTAGCCTAAGCTCAACAAAATGATTAGTTAGGCAGATCATGCATAACACAACATTCACTATGCACAAAATAATGTCCACACATGCTCAACAGAAAGTCCATGCATTTTGAGTATTTCACTAGCCTAGGCTAACAAAAATGATTAGGTAAATCATGCATAACATAACATCCACTATGCAACAAACTATATTTACGTATGCTCAACAAAAAATCCATGCATTTCGAATGTTTTATTAACCTAGGCTCAACAAAATGATTAGTTAGGTAGACCATGCATAACACAACATTCACTATGCACAAGACGATACCCACAGATGCTCAACAAAAAATCCATACAATTTCAATATTAAGAAGGATAATTGCATCAGATATGTAGAATTTCATATTGGTATTGGCTTAGGTATTAAAACAAGTAATCACATGAAATTGGACATGATATTTCAAGTTTGATATGTACAAAAAGTTAGTCACTATATTTAAAATATCTAACAGTTGCTTCTCTATATAAAAAAAAATTGTGGTTCCCAATTACCCAAAAAATATAACTTGGAAATGCTTTCATATACGTAATAATAGTTGCCTATATATATCAAAAAGGAACAATATGACTACTTCTCATACTGGGTTAGGATTCTTACATATCTTGCCATTTTGTCCAGCCTCCCACATTTTAAGCAATGATAAATCTTCTTTTATTTTAATCTGCAATGAACAAATTAATTTAGATAAATGTCTACATATAGAAGCCCAACTTTTATTTTACATAACTCAAAGTTAAATATAAACAACTCAAAGTTCATTATTGCAAAGCAAATATTCCAACATCTTTGACAACATATTTTTTTCACATTAGGAGTCATATTTTATTCAATTCAAATATCAAAGTCTAATATGAACAAGTCAATCATCACTATTGTACAATAATTAATTCACTCTAAAACTTTTACAGCCAACTTAATAGTTTAACAACCTTTAGCTTATATCAGTAGGTTAGGCTTAACAAAATGCACAAGTAGGCAAATAATGTATAACAATACCCACTATGCACAACATAAGGTTATATATTCTCAACTGAAAATCCATATGATTCTACTTTATCAATAGGTTAAATTTAATAAAATGTTCAAGTAAGGCAAATAGTGCACAACACAACATCTATTATGCACAACGCAAGATTCATATATTCTCACTTAAAAGTCATGTGATTTTAATTTATCATTAGGCTATGCTTAATAAAATACACAACAGCTCAAAGTTTATTTTTGCAAGACAAATACTTCAACATTTTTGATAGGAAATTTTCTTCATATTGGATCATATTTTATTCAGTTCACATGTAAAAGTCCAATACGAGCAAGTTAACTTTTATTATTGTACAATAATAAATCCACTTTAAAATTTTTATGGCCAAAATGGTTTAGCAACTTTTTACTTAGATTAGCAGTAAAATCATAAAATAAACAAGTAAACTTGCAAGCTTAAACATCTGTGTTTTACACGAGAGACTTATTACAACTTCAACAACTAAAAGACATACATGCACCGAATCAACGAGGAAGAAACAAAATTGAAGATCCTTACCTCTAAACAATAATGATAGAAGCTTCAAGAAACAGATAATGTCGCTCGAATAAGGAAGACGAAGAAGATCAGCAATGGCTAGCGATGTGCAAGGAAAGAGAGGAAAAATCATAAATTATGCTTCATTTATCAACATCCACGACTTTTACACTTATCTACATTGGCAATGATCAACAACAATAACGTAATGATTGTTGAAATGAGAAAGAAGACAAGAAAAACAGTGAATCGTATTCATTTGTTTTGTTTCTTTGAGGGTTCGTGTATCATTTTTGATTTAAATTAAACAAAAGGAAAAATAATATTTTTGCTCTAAAAAAATATTACAATTAGGGCCCTAAGACCTATAAAGTAATTTTAGATTGATTTAAGCCCTAAGCATAATAAAATTTTTTTTAGGACCTTCATGTCATTCCCCTTAGGCCATGTTTGGTACATCAGAATTGTGAAAAGGGAAATGGAATTGGACATGGAATTCTTCAGTTGGCTTGTTTGGTATATCAGAATTGCTTTCTTGAAGGAATCTGATTCCATTAAAATTGATGGAATCCAATTCTATTGTAGAAACCATGGAATCCACCAACTCAACATGGAATTGGCTTATGTGTCATTAAAAAAAATAAAATAAAAAGTATTTTGAGCTTTAAAAGTACATTCTTTATTTTTTTATTGTTAAGTTTTTCATTAAAAAAAATAAAATAAAGGGTATTTTGATTTTTTATATTTTAAATACATATACTTATTAAAATTATATTATGATTCCATCTTCATACCAAATACACTTTTAAAATTCAATTCAATTCTGATTCTGATTTTAATTTTAATTTTGATTCCGATTCTATCAAAAACTCTTCTATCATACCAAAAGAAGCCTTAATTAATTTCGAACTGTACCAAATTCTTCCTAAAATTAATTAGAACCCCGATAAAGCCGATTCTCGTGAGCAGCTCTTCGTCGACGAACAAGCGTTCCACACTCCGTCGGACACCGTCCACCGTTGTCAGCCCTGCGTGGTTGTTCTCGGGCAACCAGTGAAGACGGTTCGAACCCTAGGGCTTTTTCTACTCCCAAAATCCGGTGGGATTGATTTGTTCAATCTGGCTTTGAATCTAGATATGAATTTGTTCCCCGCGTCACATGTTCCCAGCGTGGCTGTTTTTGCTTTGTTTTAAATTTTTCATTTTAATTTGGCTCTGAATCTGGTCGTGTAATCGTTGAACCTTGACGCTTTTGAATTTGGGAATATTTACGCGTGGAGTTTGCTTTTTTTTTTTTTTTTGATACTAGTTTTTGCTTGAATGGTGCGTAATGGACTACTATACTTCTTCCCTCTTCATTGAAATTACTAGCGACTTATACGATTTGGGTCGTGTTGTTTTACAATGTTGGATTTGTGTGTATTGGCATTCTGTTTATTAATCTTTTTATATTATCATCAATTTTGGAAAATTCTCGAGGTGTTTGTGATGTATTATCTTGTAACTGACTTGGTTCGAGTTGTGTAAAGTATGTGGAACAAAAATTAAAAGGGTATTATATTATCTGTGCATATTTATCTATGTAGCCGACCTCACCTAGTGGGATAAAGGCTTGTTGTTGTTGTTGTTTATTATCTGTGCATATTTCAAAGATTTCAGTGGGGACAGATGCCCCCATTGAGTGTAGTATAGGTCCGCTTATGCTTGTATTGGTATTATTAAAAAGCTGCCATTGAGTGAGAGAGCTTAAGATTTGAATTGTTGGCAACACTGCTACTTTGGTTTCGATGTCAGGCAGTTGTAATAGAACGTCTTTCATTCCATGACACGCTATTAGTTCAATGTAGCCAAAACTGGGGGGGCCAGATAGTCTGCTATGCTTGTGGGAAGAATCATGATTGTCTTAAAATAAACTTAAAGAATTATTTTGGGAGGAGGGGATTGAGGAAATAATTAAGAAATGAACTTCTCATTTGATTTATAAAAGATAAAATTTAAGGTATGCAGTTCCTAAATTTACAGCCATGTGATTGATTGGTGGTCTAGGTGGCATAACCAGGACTTGGTTTACGGACTTCTCTCCTATTACTTGAGAAAATTTTCTTACCATTTTTTGGTATGTGCCCTATGCACGTTAGGAAATTAGGGTAAAGGAAAACAGCCTGTAATGCTTTTGTTTGAGAATGAGATTGCTGCAGCAAAGCATGCAGGCTATATATATCAAGATGATCTGAGGTTGTTTTGCATGGTTTTTACTTCACGACTGTTCTTGAATTAGATAATTTGGACTGAATGTGATGCGTAGGATAGGAAGAATAGAGAAGAATAGAGAGGAAGGAGAGAGAAGGGACGAGAGGATTTCTGAATAGTACTCAGGACTTATTATTTCAAAACATATGGATGAATTACATAGAGTTTGTTTTTATAGGTCTCCCTAGAATAGGCTAATGGTCTAATGGTAACTAACCATAACTGAATGAATTATCCTCTAATTATCTATTTACACATCAATAACCCCCCTTCAAGAACCCTTGACCTCAAGGGTTAGAAATAACAAAACTAGGGTGCTGTTTCTGTAACTGAAACAAAGAAATCCAGCTAGCCTCTTCATCTGGAAGGTTCTTCCATTTCACAAGAACTTCCATGATAATCCTGCCTTTTCTTCTACCCCTTTGTTCGTTCAATATTTTCTATGGAATTAAATCTGAAGGAGATTCTGGCCAATCAATAGGGGGATGCCGCTGCTTTACTGAAGGATCAGGGCATAATTTGAGCAATGAGACATGAAAAGTGGAGTGAACCCTTGATTCTAGAGGTAATTCCAGTTTATATGCTACTGGCCCTATCTTGTTACAGATTCTATAGGGCCCAAAATATCTCGGGGCTAATTTCTGAGAGCTTCTCGAGGCTGCAGAAATCTGATGATAAGGCTGTAACTTCAGAAATACCCATTGTCCTACCTCAAACTCTCTATCACTTCTGTGTAAATCTGCTTTCTGCTTCATTCTATTCACAGCCCTATTGAGATGATATTTTACCATTGCTAGAGTCTCTTCTCTTGCTGAAAAAGTTCTGCCAACAGCTTCTACTACCACATCTCTAGGCAAATATGGAATATGCATATTTACTAAAACGATCAATGACTACCCAAATTGTGTCTTTCTCATTTGATTTGGGCAACGCTTCTATAAAATCCATGGTCACACTCTCTCAAACTTGACTGGGAATAGGTAAAGGTTGTAGCAACCCAGGATAAGCCAGCAACCCAGGATAAGCCACTGATTCAGCCTTACATCTTGCACATGTATCACAGTGCCTTACAAATTCCTTAATGTCATCAAATAATTTTTGCCACCAAAACAACCTTTTGATTCTTTGATAAGTAGCTTATACCCCTGGATGTCCTCCTTGTGGACTTGCATGAAGCCATTCTAGTGTTTTCTGCCTTACGCTAGGAATATTCCCCACCACTAATCTGCCATTCCTTCTTAAATGCTGACCATCCCAGGAATAATTACCTTCTACACCTCCCTTTAGTTGCAAATGAGCTTTTAAAGCCCTCAAATCAACATCCTCATCCCAACTTTTTTGGATTTCCAGAAAAAGGAATTCTGATCAGGTCTGCAGAGATACTTGGAAAAATTCACCTTTTGGCATCCTTGAAAGAGCATCAGCTGCATTATTGTCGTTGACCCTTCTATAATGGATCTCATAATCATATCCTATAAGTTTGGTCGCCCAATACATTTGAAATGCAGTTTTAAGCTTCTGGTCTAACAAGTATTTAAGACTTTGCTGATCAGTTCTAATAATAAACCGCCTTCCTTCCAGATATTGATGCCAATGTTCCACAGCTTGTACTACCCCTAACAATTCCTTCTCATAGATAGAGAGATTCAGATGTCTAGGAGCCAAAGCCTTGCTGAAAAAGGCAATAGGTTGACCCTTTTGCATTAGAAGAGCACCAATGCCCGAGCTACAAGCATCAGTTTCAACCACAAACACTGGCGGAAAATCTGGAAGAGCAAGAACAGGGGCTGCCACCAGTGTTTCTTTCAACCTTTTGAATGTAGCAGCAGCCAATTCTGACCACTGGAAGTTATTCTTCTTAAGCAGTTCAGTTAGGGGTTTAGTTAAGGAACCATAGCCCCTAATAAACATCCTATAATAACCCGCAACTCCCAAAAATGATCTTAGTTGTTTTACTGTGGTTGGTTCAGGCCAATTCATGACTGCTTTGATCTTCTTGGGATCTGTTGCAACAACTCCTCCACTTATAATGTGTCCCAAATATTCTACTTTGGTTGCAGCAAAAGTTCACTTGCTTTCCTTCACAAAAAAACAATTTTTCCTTAGAATTTCTAGAATCACCTGCAAGTGTCATGTGTGAGATTCTAAACAAGGACTATAAATCAAAATATCATCAAAGGAAACCAAGATAAATTTTCATAAATACTCCCTGGATATACTATTCATGGTTCCCTGAAAAGTTGCGGGTGCATTAGTGAGCCCAAAAGACATCACTAACCATTCATAGTGACTTGAATGACTACGAAAGGCTGTTTTATGGATATTTGCAGGCTCCATTCGGATTTGATGATAACCCGCTTTTAGATCCAGCTTAGTAAACCATTTAGCAGCCCTTAATTCATCCAAAAGCTCTTCCACCAGCGGAATAGGGTATTTATTCTTGACCGTCCTCTTATTCAGCTCTCTATAATCAATGCACATGCGCCATGACCCATCCTTCTTTTTCACCAACACAATTGGTGAAGAAAATGGTGAGCTACTTTCTTGAATTATTTGAGATTGTAACAGCTCCTTCACCATATCTTCAATAGCATTCTTTTGAGCTGCTGGATATCGGTAAGGTCTTAAATTGACTGGATCAGAACCTTCTTGCAGAATAATAGGATGGTTGTGGCCCTCTCTCAAAGGGGGAAGAGATTTAGGCTCCTTGAATACATCTGAAAATTCCATCAACACACCTTGTACCAATTTTTTAGAACCCTTCTCCCCTTGCAACTGAAAGTAACACCATTCTTCATCCTCCTTTTCCACTAGTTGCAGCATAAACATCTGTCCTCCAGCTTCTAATTCATTTTCAATCTTTTTAAAATCAACAATTTTACACCCTACAGGTAGATCCTTGAGACTACAATTTACATACTTTCCCATTATACCAAAAGGTCATGGACAGTTTGTCATAATCCCAATAAGCCTGATGGATGGTTTTAAGCCAAGATAAACCTAAAACCATGTCATAGGTCTTAACTTCCATTATCTGAAAGTCCCCTGCGAACTCTTCACCTTGCATCTTCCACTTCACCCCCTTTAAAATCCGATATACTTTCAATTTTCCACCCCCTGCCACTTCCACTTCTACCACAGGGTTGAAATTGACCTTCCACCCAAGCTTCCTAGCCAAGTCATAGTCCTTGTAGGCATGAGAAGCTCCATTATCTATGAGAATTTGTACTTGCCTTTGACCCACATATCCTGTAATTCTCATAGCCGAGGGTCCCACACTTCCTTGTATTGCATGTAGTGAAATTTGCAAACATTCAGAGTGTTCTGGAATGTATTCGAATTTTTCTGGTGCTTCAACGTCTGGATTCATGTCTTCCTCAGCTTCCTTGAGCCCCTTTTCTTCCAATTCAATGGGTTGCAACTGCATTCTTTGAGTCTGAGAGTAGATATGATCTTTGGAAAAAGGTTGCCAACAGTAGAAACATAAGTTTTTGGCCCGTAATTCCCTTACTTCTTCTGGGGTCAGCGTTCTTGTGTTGCTAGCATTTATTCTTGAAGACCCAGCCCCTATGTGCGAAGAAACAGAGGCAAAAGAAGCTGTCTTGGGTGCGAAAGGAAGAGAATTAGAAGACTGGACTGTTTTACTCTTACTAAAAGAAGACCAAATACTGCCAGATGGAGTCTTCGCCTCTCTCCACCTAGTCGCTCCCTTCGGTTCGCTTGGATAAGTATCCAAGACACCCCCTTGCAGTCTCGACTCGGAGTTTCGACCCAACTGAAACTGACGCTGTCTCGGATCTGTGCCACGTGTCTTCGTCTGTGCTTTCTATTGATTTACCTCATGAGTACGTGCTATATTTCTCGCTTCTCTTAACATTCTTGGCTTGAACATCTGTACTTGAGTTGCAAATTCTTCCTCCAAGCCTGCTGTATACGTTTGAACGAGATACTCTTTCGAAAGTCTGATCTCGTCGACTATGGCATCAAACTCATCATCGAATTCTTCAAGGGAACCGGTTTGTCAAAGCTTCATGAGATCTTCCATGGGAGCCTCATAGGTAGGTCCGAACCTCTGCTTGAATTCTTCCACATATTCTTCCCACGTCCATCGGCCACCTTCATCTGATGTTGTAAGTCCTTGATGCCATTGCCACGCCTTCTCATTAAGGTGCAAACTTGCCATAAGCACCTTCCAGTCTTCAGGTGTATTATCTATTTGAAAATAGAACTCACACTTCAAGATCCATCCCAAGATATTACTTCTTTGGAATCTGGGAAACTCCATTTTTGTAAAACGCGTGCGAGGCTGATACTCCTGGTTTTCAGGTCTGGGTTGTCCTCTGCGCTAGTTATGACTGGCCCTTCCCTCATCGGATGTATTAGTGTGATCACATACTATCTGAGTGACCTGGTTGGTGAGAGCTTGGACGTCACTTGGGAGATTAGCCAATCTGGCAAAGGCGTCTTCCAGTGCATGAAGTTGGCCTTCATTGTTGTCTACCATGGTAGGTTGCAATCTCTGTGCTCTTGTTTTAGGCATACAGGCCGAGAACTGCTAGCTCTGATACCATTGATGCGTAGGATAGGAAGAATAGAGAAGAATAGAGAGAGAGGAGAGAGAAGGGATGAGAGGACTTCTGAATAGTACTCAGGACTTATTCTTTCAAAACATATGGATGAATTACATAGAATTTGTTTTTATAAGTCTCCCTAGGATAGGCTAACGGTCTAACAGTAACTAACCGTAATTGAATGAATTATCCTCTAATTATCTATTTGCACATCAGAATGTTTGCAGAGGTGCCATTATCTTCACAGTAACCAATAGCTTCATCCCTATTAACAGCCTTATAATGCAACTGTATATGCTTATTTAAAAAAAATGATTTAACTATAAATTTTTTTTTATGATGTCATATGGCTTAACTGGTAGTGTAACTGGTTAAACCAATTAACTTGAGATCTGGTAGCTTTTTTGGGGCCGCTGTTGGTGTTGGGTTTTAGGGCATTTAAGAGTCTCTTGTTATTTTTTAAATATTTTTTTAAGTTATTGACTAATATTGATATAAAACAGTTATGAAGAATGCCTTTGCAAGTGCTTCTGCAATCACAGACCAAAGGCAAAAAATAGAGCAGTATAAACAAATTCTTTCTGCTGTTATTGCATCAAATGACATCATTCAGGCAAGGAGATTTATAGATCACAGTTAAGTTTCTCTCCTTCTCATATAGGATTTGTTGGTTGCCTGAATTACAACTATCTAATGTGCTTTGATTGCATGGATTTGTCTTGTTTGGAAATTGCAGTGTTGTCAGATGTTGTTCCATTAGTAGTATCACGACAACTTTTGCAGACCTTTGCCCAAGAATTGGGAAGATTGCAGCCAGAGGCACAGAAAGAGATTGCCCATTATGCCCTTGCTGAGATTCAGCCTCGTGTTGTGTCATTTGAGGAGCAGGTTTAACTTTTTTAACATCAGTTCTTGCTTGTAATTTTAACTTTTTCAATAATAAACACTTATATTTGCCCTTGAGGATGAGAATTATTATTTTTAGCTTCTCAAAATAGTGGATAATTCTTGGAAGTGTCGGATGTGGTTATCAGTGGGACAGCTTTCTCATTTTGCCGTATTTTCCTTCGTTCGCTAACTCTCAGTTGTTAAGAATCCTCAAAGTAGTATATAGATATTTCATACTTCTTTATCAATCATAGTTCCATTGCTTTTGGGAAAATATATTAGTACACAAAAAATAAAGACAATTTAGCTATTGCAAACACAACTTTACAATATGGCACCGTTGTATAAATTGCAGTGAGGTGGTAGTGAGTGATAGGAGATGAGGGTCGAGGTCTTAAAAAGCGGAAAAAAAAAGTAGTTTATCTGTGAGTAATTCTTGTATTTCTTTCATCTTAAATTCTATCCTTCCTTTATACTGATTGTTATGGTTCTTAATATAGGTTTTAATTATTAGAGAGAAACTTGCAGAGTTATATGAGTCTGAGCAGGAATGGTCAAAAGCAGCTCAGATGCTCAGTGGCATTGATCTTGATTCTGGAATGAGGTCTAGCATAATTATTAACCTCTTCTATCTATTTGCATGTCATAAAATTCAGTACATGCAGTTTTGTTGTTACTAAGTTCTTGTTTGTCAAATTTTTGGCAGATCAATTGATGATACATTCAGGCTGGCTAAGTGCATCCAAATTGCTCGTTTATATCTTGGGGTATTGATATTACTCTAATTCATGACTGGTGGCATGTCTATTTCTTATTCTTGGCACATGTGATAATTCATTGGCATAACTTCTATATGGCTGACATATAAACTAACAGCACTTCAAGAGGCTGGAAAAGTGATTAAAAGCCTACATTATTGAGATTTATTTGATCTTTTAGTGCCTTTTAATCCTTGTTTTAACAATTTTTTATCTCATGTCTTTTTTAAGAGGAGTTGGAAAGGGGAAAAATGTTAATCTCCATCATGCTATTGAGATCGATTATAAATTGACTAATTTTTAGTGCTTGAAGCAGAATACCAGTTGTTCCCTATAAAATACTGGAAAATAATGGTTGTCATGATGCCGTTTATGTTTTTAATGCCATAATTATTAAAAATTAGTCTTCTACATTTTGGAACAGTTATTTTTTTGTTTTGGGTTTATTTGCAGGATGATGATGCTGTTAATGCTGAAGCTTTTATTAATAAAGCATCATTCTTGGTTAGCAATAGTCAGCAAGAAGTACTGAATTTACAGTACAAGGTGTGAACATTCATAGCCACTTAATGGTAAATGAGATAAGTATGCTAATCACTTTTTGCTTTTGCTTTTACTGATGTTTTTCCTTCTGTTTTCCCCATTTTTTCCAGGTTTGTTATGCAAGGATTTTAGATTTAAAGAGGAAGTTTTTGGAAGCAGCCTTACGATATTATGATATATCTCAAATTGAAAAGCGGCAAATAGGGGATGAGTATGTATCTTGCATATTATTTGTTTTTTGTTCCTTCCTTTTGCTCTTGATCATCATCATCATCATCATCAATATGTTTAATTTATGTATCAATATCACTATATACAAATAAATGTTTAGCAAGCCTCTATATTCATAAGCTATGAATACTGTGACACATTTCTTTGATTCTGGGTAATATATGGGGAAAATGTGTTTGAACAAGAAGGTGCATGCACATTTCTTGGATTCTTTTTTTAAACATTTCTTTATCCTGTTAGGATACCTTCAATCTCCAATTGGCAATGTATCCTGTAGCAAGTATTAGTTTTTTTTTTTTTTAATTTGGCAATGCTTGCAGATCCTGAGTTTAATCATTTATTAACTTAAGTCAATAAGATATCATAAAAAAGTGGTGAAGTTGTCAACTGTTTTGTAATGCTTAATAGAATTCTCATTACTTGTGTTTCATCATATTTGTTTAAAGAGTTCAGGAACCCTACATGTTATCAACAGCATTGCTGAAGGTGTCTTACTGATGTTTTGAATAGATTTAACATTTTGTCATAACTGACTAGAATTCTTAACCATTTTTGGTAGGCAAAAGGGGGAAAGGAACATAAAAGATTATATAACGCTCATGGCCTAATTAGAGAAAGGTTATGGATGCCTTGGATATATTAATGGTCTGGTGTCATCTGGTATAGGCACCTGGAGACAGGAACAAAACTATAAGCTTAATATCATTTTTATTTTTTGTGCTTAATCATATTTGACGTGCAATGGATGTTTGTCATTTTGATAAATATGTGCTAACTTTCTATAACAGGGTGATAGAAGATGCACTCAAACAAGCTTTACCTGCTGCTGTTACATGTACAATTTTGGCAGCTGCAGGACCTCAACGTTCTCGTGTTCTTGCTACATTATATAAGGTGATGCTTCAATTATGAAACAAAAAGATAAATGTCAGTTATGTGCTTGTAATTCTACTGTTCGACTAAAATTTTGGTGCCTTTATTAGGATGAACGTTGCTCAAAACTGAAAATTTATCCAATACTGCAAAAGGTGTCTCTCTCTCTCCCCCCCGCCCCCCATTTCTCAATTTACAAGATTTCTATTCTGATTATACAATGTCAACTCTTAATATATCAGGTGTACTTGGAGAGAATTCTGAGAAAGCCTGAAATTGATGCATTTGCAGAAGAATTGAAAGCGCACCAGGTTACATCTGCATACTTTGTATTTTTGTTTTGTTTGAGGCCATACACTGTATGTCTGAGCATTTGCTTGTCCCACAGAAAGCCCTTCTTCCAGACAATTTTACTGTGCTGGACCGTGCAATGATTGAGCATAATCTACTGAGTGCAAGCAAACTTTACACAAATATTAGGTTTGAGAAACCACATGTCCATTTGATTGCTTCCCTTACGCCCTTACGCCCATTTTATTTTAACATTGATGCTACAATCTAGATGACTTGCCTTTTAACCTGGTTTATGTTTCCATTGTAGCTTTGATGAGTTAGGAACACTGTTGGGAATTCCACCACACAAGGTAAATCATTTTACCTCAATGGTTTAGAAAAGAGCAATTAATAGCAGGGTGTTCCATAGAAGAGTCTTCTCATTTGCATCACAACTCTTTGTTCATAACCTATGTTGGATTTATTGTCAAATTTATATTACTGGTCAAAATAAATGGTGAAATAAGGCCAGCAAATGAAGTCTTCTGCATGATGACAACGTTATGTAAATTTGCTGAAAGGCAACCAGAGGCAACAACTCATGTGATTTCTTTTGATTCTCCGAATAATTTGAGTGCAGGCTGAGAAGATAGCATCAAGAATGATTTATGAGGATCGGATGAGGGGATCTATTGATCAGGTACAAATAACCATTATAATCTAATTTTTTTTTCTTGTAAATGAATTTTGGATCGTGGAAAAAGCATCATTAAATAGAAAGTGATAGAAAAAAGAGCTGTGAAAAGGTAACCTGAATTACAAAAGCCAAAGTAACAGGAGCTGCTGATCAATTTAGTTCACTGATATCTTTTTCGATGTCCAAAAATGAAGTCCAAATAGCTTTCCACTGAGAAGCATCATGAAACTATTAAGAACATCTGATCGCACAAATGTGGCACCAGTAAAAATTACCCTCGAAAATGCATGAAGCACAAAATAACATACATTACCTACATAGAAGAGTGTCCAAAGCCTTTAACTTGCACGAGTTATAGCTCCATTTTAGAAAATCCAACATTCCCCAAAAATATTGCATGAGTTATATAGCCTTTAACTTGTGATGATGTTGGGGAAAGTTAGTGGTGGCTTAAGACAAAGGCAAATGCTATAGAACCTTGGATCTTATATGTTTTTTGCAAACGACCCAAATTAAGATGCATGCTGGGATATGCTGTTGTCCATCATTTGGACAGGCATGGCCAGTCTGTGCGGGATTCACCCATTTTTATCGAGTTTTAATTGTTTTGTCATAATGTTGGATGTTTTGGTGTACCTTTTAAAATTTCTTGTGGAGCGGTTGGTTTAGCCGATGTAGAAATAATACCTCTATGTTGAACAATAAATGAGATATAGAAACATATATTATATCTCTGTATTCATTATTATTTGTAATTATATTTTACCCATCATTTGGATGGCTTGTTTCAGGTTGAAGCTGTCATACATTTTGAGGATGACACAGAAGAGTTACAACGATGGGACCAGCAGGTAATTTTTCTGGATAAAAATCCAATACTGCATAGCATAACATTTGTATGGTTTAAATCTGGAGTCCTCTATATGCTTACAATTTTTAGTTGATTCGACTATTAATTTAATCTTGTTTGAATAATATTTCCCCAAAGAAAAAAAGAATCAAGTGCGAACACTAATAATTTTTATATGGCCAATTCATGTATGTGTCTTAGGAAAACAACATTATGAATTAGAAAAAGAAAAATATTTGTGTACTTGATAAGTTGGCAAGGTTCTGTTTTTTTTTTTTTTGGTCCTTAAATTTACCTGTGCTCCGGGCTTATTTTCTTGCACCCTAATCACCACTGTATATAATCATAGATTCTTACTATTTAACTTGTGATTAGGTATTTTGTGCTGACTCAAACATCATTCATTTCAAAATTTGAATCCTCATGTATTTCTCCAAAATTAACAGTCAGTTTTGAATAAAATTAGACAGGACCATGCATAATATGGATTGAGTGTGTTAAATACAATTTCAAAGTCCGCTTGTCAATAGCCTAAGTCTCATCTTTTTGCCATGTTGGTTAATGGTTATTGTGGTTGCAGATTGTAGGCCTTTGTCAATCACTCAACGATGTTTTGGATAGCATGGCCAAGAAGGGCTTTCCAGTTCCTGTTTGAAGGGGATCATCGATACTTTCTTGTTTATTCATTCTTGGAAAAGCCTCTGATTTTTTTGTTTTTGGGAATATATTTATTGGAAATGACTATATCAATCTGTGATAACATTAATTTTCTGATATATTAGCTTATTTAATGTCAGCCAAGTTTGCCCGAGGCTTTATTTAGTTCACTGTGTTTGTTTGTTTGTTTGTTTTTTTTTTTGGTTTTTGGAATGAAAAGGGAAATATCATTTGACAAGAATATTTACAAAAAATTCGAAATCAGGAGAAATAAAACAAGCTCATTGATGAATGCCTTGGATAAGCTCCTGGGCTTTTTAACAGCATGGTCTTCAAGAATTAACGATACATTGTTTAATTGTAATGCAGTGCAGCATTTTCGTCGTGCTTCATGGTCTTTCCTTATATATGGGGTTAAATGATAATTTCAGTATTAAATTATAAGTTTAAGGGCAGTTTGAATCCTGAATTTGTATTTGGTATATTTTGAATAAAGTATTTAGTTTCTACAAAGCATATGTCTTCAATGATAACGAAGTAAGGTATAAATGTCAAAAGCATAAAATTTACATGCCCTATATTTTAGATAAAAGGTATTTCTAGAAAATGGTTTATATGTGGTCTAGAATTTTGATTTGACTACTAATTATTTAATCTTTTTTTTTTTTAACTCAAAGGGTATAAAAGCACAATTCTAATTTAGCTTGGTTTTAAAATTTTGAGGACAATAAAATTGAAATACAAACAAAATAAAGCATTTTATAATTTTATCCTTTTTCTTGGAATAAAATACAAGGATATACTTTCAGTTTTGTTAAAATTATGGTGACTTCTTTTTTTTTTTTCAAAAAAAAAAACAAATACTTTAGTTAAATTTTTAATATTTTAAGAAATGTGTTATTAAAAATTATAAAATATTTAATTTTATTAATTAAATCTATGTTAAAAAAAATTAAGATTATTAATTTATTTCGATAGCCTAATTATCTGCCTGTGTCTTTTCCAGTTCAAGGAATTTTAAAAATACTATATGAAAATTAATAACATTTAAAGTACGATAAACATAAATTATATTACTCCCTTCGTTAAGAAAATAAAAAAAAATTTAATTAAATTTTATCTAAATAAAATAATTACTTATTTTTAAATTAATATCATTTTTTTATATTCATCCATATTTAATAGGGTATTTTATTTTAAAATAAATATAAAGTAATTTATTTATTAGAGCATTTAAAAAAATGTAATAATTATATATTGAAACACTAAAAATACTTTATATTTTTTAATATTTAATCCTTTAAAAAATGCATTACATTTCTAAATTAAGAGAGTAATTAATTAATCTCTTTTTAAGATTTGTGTTGACATATGTATATGGAATATTATTTTTTTTGATCGAATATATGAAATATTATTTTAGTTCACTCACACTCACACAAACAGATATATATATATATATATATATATATTTAAAAAATTTATTAATTAAATAAGTTACGAAACTAAAAAAATTTAAATATGATTAAAAAAATAAAACATATGTAAGCATTAAAATTATTTTTTAGTAACCTAAATGATCTTGAATTAATATTTATTTTAAAAAATATATTTTGTTTTAAAAATATATGATATAATTAAGGTTGATGGAAATGAAAATATAAAAATTTAGAAAGTTGGTATATAATTTTGAACTTTTAAATGTAGAAAAAGTTTATATAAATTTTAAAAATAAAAGGGTTAAAGATTAATTTGGCTTTTAAATTATAGGCATCTAGAATTCTTATTTTTGTATAATGTTTTTCTTTAATTTTAAAAACGATGCAATTTTACCTCTAACATTAATAAAAACATAAAAAAAAATTGTTAGTGGATCAGAAAATAATAAAAAAAGATACAAAAATTATAGAAAAGAACAAAAAAATTAATCTAAAAATAAAAAAAATGATTAAAAAATTACAAACAAAAACATAAAATATTACAAAGAAGGATCAAGAAATTTCTTAGTCCTTTTATGTAATTTTTGAAGTATTGATCTATCTTTTTTTAGTTAATTAAAAATTAAATTAAATTTTTATTAAAAGTTGAAGTGACATTACATCATTTTAAAAAATTAAAGGATAATTTTGTACAAAAAATAAGTTTAGATTCTCAAAATGCTCTAGAGCCTTTAGTTTAGGAGCAAATTATCATTTAACCCAAATCAAAACGATTACTTCTTCTAATCTTATTTATAAGTTACTTTTAATATTTTTATGGGAATAAAAAAAAACCTTAAACATCGTTAGTTCTATCTAAAACTTTTAACAAGTTTTCAACTTCACCCTATTAAATATATACACCTTAAAATAAAAATACTCTAATATTAAACAACATTCACAACATCTAATAGGGACAAAAAGATAAGAATAGAATAGACCTAATAATCATTGAAGTGTCCGTAAATGGAACTAAAATAAATATTATTTTTACCTTATAAACAAGACAAGAGGAATATTTCTTAATTAAGGCACTAGAATTGAGGTAAGTGAATCTTATTCAAACTTTTTATCACATTAAAGGCATCAAAATTATGCCCCATGTCAAAAGGATAGGGATGTATTTTTGCCGAGGTATTCTCTAAAGAGCCGCTAGAATCTTAAATTATTAATTAGAGCAATTTTGCTTTTAAAGTAATCAAAACAGAGCATCTTTGCCTTTACTATCAAATTTCCAACGTTAATCGTTAGAAATATTTTTCTAAATGAGACTCACTATTAATTGTTTGAGAATTTAATAGAAAAGGCAAAAATGCTTTGTTTCAATTACTTTAAAAATAAAATTACCTCACTAAATAATTTAGGGTGTTGGGTGCTCCTTGAAGAATATTTTAGAGTAAAAATGCATCTTCACCCTATGTCAAAGTAATAAATAAAACATAAACCTTTTTTTGGGGGGGGGGAAATAACATTTCCCACGTATATCATCTAAACTTTTTTAACAATACATAATTTTTAATAAATTTGATATAATATATCTGTTAAACAATACCAGATGCATTGTTAAAAATTTGTCACTTGATATTTAAAAATTTTATATATCTGTTAAACAATCAACAATGTACTCAAGTCTAGCTAATGTCGGATGATGGAATAATGGTTCCCCCCCCCCCCCCCTCTTATTTCTCGCTTGAGAAATGGTGCTAGCGATCATTTGGCTGCCTTGGATTCAAGGGAGTTGGAATCCAACGGTCTGGTTTACACACCACCACCTCCTCTAACATCTATCGTTCTTCGGGAAGCTCAAAGCCATAGTCAAAACCTTGGAGGGGTTCCAAAAATCAGGTTATATTAAAATTTAAGATAATTTTGCATCTTATAGGCAGTTCATTGTAAATAATGATATTGGAATTGTCACGAGAAATTTGATGTGCGAGCATATAAACTCATTTGTTTGTTTCTCTAAAGATATGATTAAAAATAATTATTTAATTTTTCATGACAAACTCATTAATTATCTTGATGTTTGTTGTTAGGGATGACTATCAATAAAATTATGTTGTATGAGTGGAAGAGTTTTCATGGAATCAATGTGTAAATTAATTTTTGCAAGTTTTGCATTCTAATAAAGTTGAAAACTTTTTAGAATGTCTCATAGCTCAGCTGCAGTATTAAAGTGATAGTTAATATATTTTAAAAATTCCATAATTTAATTTCTTTTTTCATTGCAAACGACTCTACCACAAGCCAATTTTGAGACCTTCTAGAAGCTCATGTTGCTGATCATGATTTGCAGAACGACCGGCGTTTCCAAGGGGCTAATAGAGGAAGAATTGACTAATGTTCGGGGCCGACGTTAGTAAGTACTTGTGTTACTGCTTGCTTCGTTTCCGTTTTGTTTTATCTCTTTTGTTTTATTTTTTTATTTTGACCTGATGCTTTATCTCTGGACCTTGCTTTTTTATTTAATGGAATGCATATCTTTTCTGGTCACATAATAATAATAATAATAATAATAATAATAATAATAATTAATTCTAAAACTATACTAGATGTGCTTCGTATATTTTTACAATATAATATAATTGGAGGGGAAAAAAAAAGGAACACGCGCGCAAGGAATTGTTGGCTTTGATATGCGCATCTGCAGCTCCGCTGCATTTTGAGAAAATTTTGGAGTTTACAGATAAATGTGGCTGGTTTAAATTTAATGTTAAATTTTATTTTATATTTATTAAAATAAAAAATTTATAAAAAATTTTAATAAATCTAATTATCAATCTGAACAATAATTTTAACATAAATGGTTCAAATTTAATATTAAAGTTTAATAATTTTTATAAATTAATTATTTAGATATATTCTGAATAGTTATAAATTTTTAATTTTAAATTCAAATAAAAATTTAATGTTAACATTTTTTATAATTTTTATAAATTTTAAATTTTAAATTCAAACCATTCATATTAAACCTCAATTGTTCAATTTGGTGATTAAATTTATTGATTTTTTTTTAAATTTAAATCATTATGAACTATTCAAATTAATTATTAAATCTATTGAAAGATTTTATAAATATAACTATTCATATTAAGTCTAAAATGTTCGGAGCGATAATCAAATTTATTAAAATTTTTATTTTAATAAAAATAAAAGTTAAAACATTAAATTTGGACCATCCTATTTATCTGGACGGTCCAGATTCTGCTCGCGTTTTGTCAGCGGAGCAAAGCCAAGTCCCACAAGGAGGGCAAGAAGTTAGAATTCAACTCCCAAGGGCAGATGTTGTTGGCCCCACAAATCATCTTTCCGAGTTTAGAGTTCCGACTTTCAGTAGAAAACTCATTTCCGATCCCATTATCTTCATCATTGGCATCTTCATTGTTGATTTAGCCCCCATTGTTAGTTCATCACTTGAGCTTAGAAAGTAGAGTTTTGTGGTAAGGATTCATGTTCAATAGCTTCGTTGAAAGTCTTAAACCCATTCTTTATCCTTGATTCTTCAACAATCTCTATGGTAGGGATGGGTTATGATTTTTTTAAAATGAATTGACATTGTTTTTTTTTTTATTCTCCTGTTCAACTAAGGTGAGGACAATTGATTTGTTCATGTCTGAAAAGAGGAATCTCAATCTTCCCACGGTGCTTCCATCTAATTCAATGTTGTTGTGGAAAGTAATTGAATACGATTT